ATACAGATACCAATCTAAAATATGTTATAATAGTACTGTAAGGTACCATCTCTTCGGCGACGCTTCAACTAATTGCTTTAAATATTTCGACCATTTCTTATGAAAATAAAAATTATTTATTTATTGATTAAATTTAGAAACGCCTTAAAGACGTTCAACAAACAAAATACAATTCGCAAATATATTTCAGGGGAGGCAATTGTCTCTATTAGCTCCTCCCTCAAATACGCCACTGTTTTCGTCTATAGTTTACGTATTCGGCTGAAGGTAAAATATAATTTTACGAGGGTTTCGTATCATTACATTAAATTACGCAATTTTCTATCTTTGTTTCACTACTGTAGATACTCAGTACTCTAACATGTTTATTACTTGTTTTTTTGTTATTTTAAGTTTTAATATTACCAACGACAGAAGGAGGCAGCAGGTCACTTGGAAATTCAGCCTTCCCCGGGTACGTCACCGAGTTTAAATAAGAAAAACCAAAACTATAATATTAAATTTTTATCGTTTACGGGGACAAATATTACTGAATTAAACGCATTACATTAAACGAATACCGTGTATGGTTATTGTCTTTCACATATTATACCAAACGTCCGTAGAGGTAGTTAGGTTAGGTTAATCGTTGCTTGCAAAGATATGCTATACAATTAAATTACCTATTCATTGACTACATCCGTCACCATTATCCTAGGACAGCTATTTTTATTTTACTGTATGACAACGTTTATAAATTTTGATTAGCTTTCCCCTCCCCTTTAAAACAAATTCTTTTAATTAATATGGGTGTGCACGATTGCAAACCTCTTACCTTTTAGATTCTGAGTGGGGTGACCAATATATCGGTATTGCTATAATGTTTATTTTTTTAATTTTTTTTTTAATCCAATTAATGGGAAAAAAAGAGAAAATAGATACAATAATTGAGCGAATATTATTAAAGAAAATGTTACTATTCCAACCTCTCACCTACAAAAACAGTCCACCATGTCCGCCTTTTTTCTGTAGTAACTTGATTAAAAATAAACGTAGAGACCCGACATTTTCGACTATCAACCCATCAATTACACTCGTCGCCCTATCATTGAAATACCGATTTTTCGTATTTATAGTTATTCTCGGAGTTTTAAACAACCACGACACTCGTTTCGAATAAAGCCAGGAGACTCAATTATGGACAATTTTCTGATCACACGATATTTATCATGTGATAAACATTAAAACCTCAAGAGATCAAATTTAAATAATCTTCAGTGTAATTCGATAATCATTGAAATAATATACGAAAAATATTAAAAATATTGTACCAAGAATGAGTTATGTTGGGAGAGAAATTCGACTCTATACAGCGACGGAGCTCTGTCACGGTCGTTTTTTTCTTTTTTCTATATAATCGTATCTTATTTTTAATGCACCGCTCGATACCCGAGTTCTTAGTATTATATTATTGAAAGTAACGCATGCGTCACATTTTTGGTAATGCGAGCCCTCTTCCTGATCCCCAATGTTCACCGTTGCCATGGATACAACATAGGGGGAACTGCAGATGATTTTACACAAAACACACATTATTATAAACGCGGTTTTTCGACCAATCGAAGGACAAAACGTTTTTTTTTCTAACGAGATAAAATTATATTTTATGTGTATTTATTGCAGGTTCCCAATTTTGTTAAAAAACAACTAGTTTAATGTATGTATTATAAGTTATAACACAGACGTGCTTTAGATAATTTAGAAATGTTATTATTTATTTTCTTAAGGACTAAGTTAAGAAACTTAATATAGGTAAATAACTCATTATTATGCTTACGGAAAACGAGAACCAAACATCTGTGAACTGTGACACAAGAAAGAAATTAAAACCGGTAATGTTCTATTTTCACCTTATTATGTGAATATTTAGTTTAATTGATTAGAAATATTTTTTAATAATTGTAATTAAAAATTGTATTCAATAAATGATTTTTTTTTTTATTGTGGTGCAAATTGATTTCACAGTGAACAAAATTACTTTGTTTTAAAATATTTTATTCACAAATAAAGACGTGCACTTTTTATTTGTGAAATAAGTTTACATTGCTATTTCAAAATAGAATTTGTAAATAGGTACCAATTACACTAATTTCATATTATAAAATTATAATTATTTATCGCAGTCCCTGCAAAACGTACAAATTTTTATATTACGCGTATAAATACGTACAGGTAGAGCGCAAAGGATTGGTAAAAAAGAATTTCATACTTTTTATGTCGTGTGCTGATGTGACGTTACGCCATACCCCTCGAATTTTTATTGATATTCTGGGCCACTACGTATACATGATGAAGATAATAAATTAAATGAATTTTGAAAATAGGGGGGGAGGGGGGTCTGGCTTGATGTACGTATAACACAGATTATAGAAGTTATATTTCAATTTTCTTACTGGCTTGATATTTATGTAGGACTATTATTCTAAGATCACGCTACCACTCATTCATGATAAAACCGAATACCTGTAGTTTTATCTAAGCTTTATTTTTATATTCATAAATAATAGATATTAATCTAACTTCACTATAAAATTTAAATTTATTTGTAATTTGTATAAAATATAATAATATTATGTTTGTATAATATACAATAGCGGAAAGATTCAAAGGACTTTTGGGACTTAAACCCCTCCCTTCACACATGCAGTTACTTAAAAAAAGGACTTATAATACAATATAGATAAATTTAAACTTATATTAACAATGCATTTTAAATGTGTATCGTTTTAGCCCCTTCTTTAATCTATTTCCTAGATCCGGCCATGTGTTTATTAAGGATTTGAAAATATAAATATATATTAATTATTAAATATAAAATATAATATATTAATATAATAAAGGATTTGAATATGGATTCTCCATATTGTTGTTTTATTCTTGTTTCTTTATTTGCTCTTCTATTCTTAGTAATGATAATTTATATTTCTTGTAGTCAAGGTCCCAACAATTAAAATCACTGGATTACCCTTTCCACTTAATTAAATATTCAATTTCCCCCATATTTTTCACGTTTATCAATTATTTCTTCAACTCCATATTCTAATTGGTCATCATTACTTGAACTGAAATAAAATAAATAATATTGAAGTTATAATGTACATAAACCAATATTTTTATTTTATTATAGGTAGATATTATAGATTAATCATAAATATGCAGATGTAACAAAAGAAATTATCATTGTTTTTTGTTTGTTTGTATTGCTAACTGAAATAGAAACATGAGTAACTTCAACCAATCAGTTAAATTGTTAATAGTTACTTCAGTAAACTTTTCAACAGCTAGAAATAAAAGAAATCATTAAATTGAAATCTATAATTAATAATCATAACAGGTATCAAATTTCAAGTATAAGTAATTTAACTTGCATAATTATTGACATAAATATATCATCTAAACATTTAAATAATTATTATTGTTACGAGGCACTTAAACGCCATATGCCGTTGTGTAAGACGATTGTCAAAGACAATACTAAATCAGAATTAGCTTATCTTTTAAGATATTTTTCTTTTTAAAGTGTTTTATCGTTTTCCTTATTGTTCCTCCAAATNTTTTTTTCCAGTTAAAGTGACGATGTCCAATCAGACAATTAAGTCATAAGAATAATAAGCAAAATTTGAAAACATTTGGGATCTTAACTGTGATGGTTATAAGTCAACTTTGATAAGATTATAAGGGTAATTAAAAAAACCATATGATTCACTATATTCAAATCCTTTACCTTCGCCTTCAAACGCTTATTATTATTTAATACTCTTCCAACCAGATATTACTCAGAATATGATTAGCAATGAAAAATATTATGAAAACCTGTCGACAGCTAGAAATAAAAGTAATCATAAATTAAAATCTATAATTAATAATCTTTTATGAGTTGGTATGAAATTTTAATTATGACTTATTTAACTTGTATAATTACTGACGTAATTATATCATCTAAACATTTAAATATTTATTATCGATATGAGTCCTTTGATGCTATATGGCGTTGTGTAAGACAATCTTTAAAAATAATACTAAACCAGAATTAGCCAATCCTATAAGATATTTTTCTATTAAATGTGTTTTGTTGTTTTCCTTTTTGTCTTTCCAAATGCAAAGCTGTAATAAATTCAATTTATTAAAATCAATTGTAATATGCATACATAAATGAAATAATTATACTTACAGTATCTTTTTTCATATAATCCATTTTCTTCGGATAGGAATATGGAGAAACCTTATCCATGTTCATGAGAATTTTACTATAAATACAATAAAAAAAAATTACTCATGTGAATGTTATAATGAAATGTCAATATTTGGATGATCTTAACATTAACCGTGGATTTTGAATAGCTCTTAATTATTTGTTTTCTACTACATTATTTTAACGTTATTCAGTTTATCATGATTAAAATTAAACTAACAAAAAAAGGCCTTTTTAAGTCTTTTGTATGAGTACAACCAGGTAATTAATTATGGCGGGTATACTCATTATCTGGGAAAGAACAAATTTTTCTCCAATTTGTGTTCTAGGATATTTAAGAAACAAGCTACTCAATTATTATATATTTATGTTATTTTTTGTCACCAATACTTTGCGTAGTAATACCACTAGCTACTTTTAATTTTCAAATGGAAACCTGTATAGGGAATTTCATTTTATTAATATATAGGTTGCTATTTGAAAAAACAGAAGTAGGTATTAGTTTCGTCTCCGAAAAAAGGGTGACAAACAAAAAACATAAATATAAAATTGTAACACACTTTGTTTCTTAAATATCCTAAAAAACATATTTGGAAGAAAGTTTATAGTTTCGAGATAATGAGTGTACCCAATTAAATAGATCACCTGGTATATAAATATTATAAACCTATATATATATATATAGCAGCAAATAACAAATATTACACTGAATTTAGAAGTTTTTGGTATCTATTTATTTTTTGAGATAATGAACCTTCTGTTATACTGATGAAGAATTTTGTAATTATTTCATTAACCAAAGTAAAGGTAAGATAATGAGAACGGGTGCAGCTGTTGGTGTAGGTGGGAAGTTGAGAACATAAGATATAAATGGAATTTATTGTACATCTGTAAGTAATGATTTTTTAACATTTGATAGGCGAACTCTTAGGTAAATAAAATAATAACCTCTCTAAAGTATAAACTTCAAGAAGAATATAGGTACCTACCTAAATTTAATAAAACAATATTTTCTACTGTACTTTTTACTTTTGCAGTGCCAGTTTTTACTATTTTATTTTTAGGTGGACCTTGTAAGAATTGAATAGAAGCAAATAGGTAGAAAGAAGGTATAGTCCAACTAGATTATCCGAAATTTGTCTATGGAAAGTAGGTTTTTCGCAATTATTTCGAAAACTTATTGGAAAATTAAAAAATGACCTCCACAATGCACCAACACATAAAAACAAATCATAACAATCTATGTTTAATATGCTTACAAATGGAAGACTTTTCAGGGGACTTCAACAGATGACAGCTTTATGGTGGCGTTGGCAATGGTGTCAGCATGGAAATCACCAGAGTAATTCGTGATGGTCCGAAGTATAGTCATAAAAATACGAGTACCTATTATTAATAAAAATATCATAGCTGGAATAATTAATATTTTAACGAAAAAATATAAGACGGAAGAAAATTTACCTGTGTTTCGAAAGACATGCTACCGATGACGAAAAATAGAAGAATCGTGGCGTCTGCTGATGGAGCGCGAACGGCAAATCGGATCCGAAAACCCAATATTTGGAACGCAGTGTAGTCCACTCAAGATGGCTGAAGCAGCAAAAAGGCTGCAACAACTGCGAATACGACACTGTCTTGTATATAGCAACGATTAAGTTTTGACGTGGTGGGTTCTAATAGCGATTGCAGTGCGGATTAACCGACAGACCAAAATATTCTCCTCGTGCTTGTCGGTCTGTAACGGCACTTGTCTGCGCGTACACGCAACGTTGACGAACGCTAGATGTGAACATGCTCATAGATAATGTATTCGTAAATATCATTGTGTCTGTACATGTGGAATAGACCTTAACCCGTGCGATAACATTGAGAGATATACGTATGCACGTGATTACGGTATTGGAGAATTATTATGTAACGGTGAAAATATAAACGTGCGTTTTTACACAATTCAAACTAAATGAAAATAAAAAAAAAATGTATAAATCGGGAATTGAAAGAAAAATAGATTAATAATATAATAATAAAAAAAAAAAAAAAATTTTAATTTCGGATCCTGATAAGGATCGAGACATCCGAGACGTCCCGGTTCGGCCAGCCTTGTTTTGAGAACCGTTTTTACGAGCGGCCAGCTGACTACCCGCCTAGGAGCAATGTCGCCAACCTAGAACCGAGATTCGAAAACCGGAGTCCTAGGATTTTTGTTATAGATGTAAGCAGTACCGTGACAGTAGATTCATCGGGCGATATGGGAGAAAGAAAATTACATTTATCTAAATAAATAAAAACATGTTTTTTTTTTTTAGGGACGCACAAAATCAATAAACGCTGGTTGATCCCCGAGGAATTTAACATAGACAAAATATTGTATCATACACGATTTTAAACATACACAACGCGGACCGTAGGACGCGTATACAAACGGGAAAATATTGTGTTGGTAGTGTGTACGTGATACTGAACAAACGATTGTTCGAGAAAAAGAAAACATTTTAAACAAAGTATTTAAACGGGGGACAGAAAACTACCTTTCCAATTATTAAACTACATATATATTACCGATCATCTCGCCCGAAGATGTCCGCCCAGCCGATCATATCGGAACTCACTCCATTAGTTCGTTCGAGGCACCATCAGGACAGGAAACATGCAAAGGTATACGACATTTTTTAATGGAAAAAAACCCGCACGGTACGGGAGTGTTTTAGTAAAGTAAACTGTATTAAGTGACCGTCTGATGAATAAGTCTTGAGACGAGGTCGAGACACGAAGAGAAAATGGACGAACAAAATCGGTAGCGGAGCGCCGAGACATGCGACGCCGCGGGCCGACGTTTTGAGGCGATAAGGGGAAACGTGATATGATTGGCCGTTAACCCGTAGTCAGGAATAAAATATTATTGTAAATTACCAAAAGATAGCGATCGCATAGACCTTTTCGCGGGGGGATGATAACATAACATATCCGTCGCCGCGGTCGTTTTATTTTAACCGGTCGATTATATTGATTGTATGTACGTTTGTCCCACATTAACGGAAAATGGTCGTTTTTGGACATTACAGCTTAAAATGGGTATCCACTACGTTGTGGATAATCAATGTCTTAGCATACTGAGTTATGCATTCCTAGTCCGTCATTAATAATTTTTTTTTCTATCGTCCGGAAGAATACCTACCACAGCAAAGTAATAATATTATATTATACGGGTTTCCCGAAAATCTCTACTGCAGCGTTATTCGTTCTTACAGTAGAGTAGGTACACAATACAAATTCAATTAAAAATTACAATAACTAAGTATTTAGTAAAAATTATCAATAATGGATTTGATACGCATCTACATAGTATACGTACTCTCAAAATAGTCAGGAATAACATTAGAATAACGTAGCCCGTGTATAGTGTAAAACTGAGTGAAAATGGGGGGTGTTACTGAAAATGTTCCGTCATAAAACCAGTTATCACAATCGTTCATAAATTCTAAATTTTGTTGAGTTGTAAATATTAAAATTCGTGATTCAGTCGAAAAAAAATCATATTTTAAAAATAATTCGCAATTGAAGTTATACTTATATCGATCTGATATAATAAATTCAAAATTACTTGGATTAGCTGGAGCAGCTTCCTCCTTTTGACGTACACGTTGAATTATCCTTTTCAAAATATTCACACTCGGTAATTCTGCAGACAACGCACTTGTTACCTAATTTAGTTTGATTTTAATTACTTATAGTTTTTATTACTATATTATGAATAACTCTTACTTGCATAACTGCATTCCCTAAGACGAATTGTGTACTAAGAGTTGTTTGTAATTAATATTTCTTTAAAATTGAAATACATTTTTTGGGCTCGATTTTTGCAGTATTTGATACGTGATTACGTGTACCTAACCTTTAAAATGAGTTTTTTTGTATCCTGAACATTTGTAAAACATTATATTTTTGTGTTCTCGTACTTTTTTATATAAAAACCCCTCATAAAAGAGCATATTTCTATTTTTTTACTTAATACGTACTCTAAAGCTATATTCTATAGAATACAATCTATTCTATAAACAAAATCGTACAGTACTTTCGTCGTACGAAGTTATAAATAGACTGGCTCGTTTTATCGGTTATATACGAGCAGATAAGATATCACAAAGACGTCTATGTCGTATAGCTATATCGTTTTGTACCCATTTAAAAAATAATACAAATAATGAACATATTCATTATGGCAGTTTCATTATTAGATTCGTTTGCAATTTTTTAAATTGCTATCAATTGTTTGCAATCAATTGACAGGACAACGGATGGGTACATCACTGATGTAGATGAAAAGTTGGTAGGTAGGCTTATAGTTATTTCATTCAAAACACTATACTTTGCGAAAAGCGATTCTGAGCGAATTTCGTTTATCCACAATTAATAAGCATAAGAACATTAATGATTTTCTTTGAATACTTGATCCAAAAACCATTATAACAAAAAAAAAATGTACTTCAAAACACTCAATTTAACCAATATTACCATTAAATATATACGTAACTTATAATGGACTTTGTGTTAAAATTCAGGCATTTCTAAATTTCCAATAAAAAGATTAAAAAAAAATCTATCCTAGGATTATTGAGACCGGTGCAGCCACTGTTGATGATGAGAAGTTGGAGAGTTAGGATATAGAGTGGAAATTAATATGTATCTGTCAGCAACGAAAAACTATTACTTACTAAAAATTATTCTGAACGGAGTTCAGTTGATAGTGATGATAGGTCAACAATATATATGTCATATTATGGTAAAATAATTAAATAGGCATTACATATTCTCTTTAATAGTATTTGTTTAATATTGATCCGATCGTACAATTTTTAGGGTTCCCTATTTAATGAGAATAATCCTGAAAATATCACAATATTACCTCCTTAAAAAACTTCAGTGTCAGATTTCCTTTTTAAAAATAAACGCTACCATTGTAAATAGGATAATTGTTCACAGGAAAAAAGTACGAAATATTTCTCGACCTATGACCTACTTTCGATTATTTCCCTGTTATTCCTGAATATTTTTTTTATTCGGGTTTTCACATTTGTTAACAAATGACCACAATAAAGTACAACCTAAGGAAAATATCTTTTCAGAAAATGGTCTACGTCATATACATTAAAATAAGCTTTCAGTAGAAAAATTATTAAAATGTTGATAATGATAATGATTTTAATTTATTGTATTTGACAAATAATAAAACATCAATAATTTACAATTTTCCATTAAAATAATAATAAAAGTGAATCGATTAATTATTTATTTTATATTTTATATTTAACAAGATAAAATGTTGATAATACATACCCAAAATTGTCAAAGTACATTAATAAGTCTAATTACAGGCATAACAAGTGATTCTTACAACATAATTGTCGAAAAGTCATTCAATAATTAATGTATTATTAATTATTTAACTTGTTAAGATGATGTATTTACGACAAAAATTATGCAAGTTCAATTACTTATACTTGGAATATGATACCTGTTATGATTAATAATTATAGAATTCAATTAAATGATTTCTTTTATTTTTAGCTGTTGAAAGGTTTACTGAACTATTAAATATTAAACTGATTGATTGAAGTAACTCATATTTATAGTTTGAAGGGCAATAGAAACTAACGAAAAACAATAATAATTTCTTTTGATACATCTGTATATTTATGATAAATCTATAATACACATCTATATTAGGATACAAATAGTTTTTCATTTACATTATAACATCTATGTTGTTCATATTTTTCAGTTCAGGAGATGACCAGTCTGACAACTAGGTCAAATGAAAAATAAGCAACAATTGAAAAGCTTTGGGACCTTAACTGTGATGGTTATAAGTCACCTTTGATAAGATTATAAGGGCAATTAAAAAGACCATATAATTCTCCATATTCAAATCCTTTACCATCCAAATCAAATGCTAATTATGATTAAGATAACTATAATCTTTAGACTGGATATCATTTGGATTATGACTAGCAATGAGAGCCATTATACAAATAAGTCATTCTCTATTCAAAAAAAGAACAACAAACCGTCATAGCATCATCCACTTCCAGGTTAACTGGCAAAACAATTCCAAAATATCTCATTAAAAATCATCAAATTTATCACCAATCTATAATATAAATTATAACATCTATATTATTCATTTTTTTCCAGTTAAAGTGACGATGTCCAATCAGACAATTAAGTCCTATGAATAATAAGCAAAATTTGAAAACTTTTGGGACCTTAACTGTGATGGTTATAAATCACCTTTGATAAGAATAAAAAAATAAATAAAAAAACAATATTATTCTCCGTATGCAAATAATTTACCTTCCAATTCAAGCTCTAATTATGATTTAGATAACTATAATCTTTAGACTGGATATCATTTGGATTATGACTAGCAATGAGAGCCATTATACAAATTAGACATGCTCTATTCAAAAAAAGAACAAGCCGTCCTAGCATCATCCACGTCCAGTTAAACTGGCACAACTATTCCAAAATATCTCATTAAACATCCGTATATTTATGATTAGTATATGCTTATATTAAAATAGAAATATTGGTTCATTTACATTATAACTTTAATATAATTTATTTTATATCAGTTTAGATT